TCTCTCTCTCTCTCTCTCTCTCTCTCTCTCTCTCTCTCTCTCTCTCTCGTTCTAATTCTCCCTATTTTGTGTTCTTCGTAGGTCGGCGGAATAAAAGACAAAGTTCTAGCCGTGCACAGAGCTGGCCTGAAGAGGGTCATCATTCCTCAAAGGAATGAAAAGGACCTTGAAGAAATCCCAGCCAACGTACGGCAGGATCTCAATTTTGTGATGGCCAGCACCCTGGATGACGTCCTCAACGCAGCTTTTGATGGGGGATTTTCCACAAAGGCCAGACTTGATCACTTGAATAGCAAACTCTAAGCCAGTGGGGATGGAGTTGACCAAAAGATCGAAATATAAGCCCAGTGCTAACCTCGTAGCCGGTAAACGCAAGTGTGAATTAAGGGGGGGCAAAATAGCAGGCTACCTGACATTAGGGTTTATTTTATGCTTCTTCTTTTTTTTAAGAAGGAAAGGATTATTTTTAAGGGAACAGTGACAACTCTTGCTGCGGCTGCTGCTTCCGATTGGCCCTACACTGCATTAGTGGGGATAATTCTCCAGAGATAGATCTGAATGCTTAAAAACTCTTAATGATGATTATTTCCCAATGCTATTAAGAGATAGATTTACACGTGGACAGAAGAGCGGTAGCTAAGCACATGAGCCTTTGTGAAAGCTTTTTTTTCTTCCCCGTTAAATTCAGTGAATGAATTTAGAGAATCTTTTCCTTTTTTTTTTGGGCTGGAATGTCACAGTTCTAGTCAAATTACCCTTGTTGCCAGGCAGAGCTTTCTCCTTTCTCAAGCATAATCTTGAGAGGCGGCCCTCCCTCCAGCTGTAGTGCCAATGCAGGCAAAATATACTCAAGTCTGAATGTGCAAAAACTGACCGGCCAATGCCAAACATCCCGGATTAGACGGTGGCTCACGAGGCCACCAGGAAGCATTAAATTCTTTGCAGTGGTGTCTGAATGGAATTCTTAGTTCCTGCCTCGGCTGCTGCTTCTAAACTCCTGAAAATTAACAATAGTGGTTGAGCAAAGAAGCCGTTGGTTTCTTTCAGGTAAACGGTGCTATTTAATGCTTCCTTGAAATTTTAATTTTCTCAACATACACAGTGGTTTGTTTACCAAAGTTCAGGTGCATTAGAAATTTGCAAGAATTTTGCAACAACTTCCTTTCCGTGATTGTTGAAAAGATTCCCTTGTGGGTCCAGCCACACGTCCCAGGACAGGGCACGGAGCCACAGCATGTTTAGCTCCTTAGATGCTTTTAACCTTCTCGGCGCAGATAACTTAAACTGTCTTGAAACGGTGGTTGATTGATACAGGCACTAGTGAAAACAGGTCTTTTTCTTGAATTAGCAGCTCTTCTGTAAAATGTGACACAGAGAAGAGTAAAACTCTTCTTTGTAATGCACCAGCAAACGTATCGTTGAATCTTATGAGCAAATGCAGCCTTCCAATGTGAACATTTGATTTTGACCTCATTTTTATTGAATAACTGTATTTTTTTTTCATGGAGAAACTCTATATAGCTACTGAAAGTTGACATTGGCTTGATGGCACGTTGTCATATTTTTAGGGCACGCTTTCTAAGGATACATTCATCAGTAGAAAGGTCACTTTTTGCAAGATTTAGATCCGTTTTTAGGATGCTTTAATATACGTAGTGAACCTAGNAACTTAGGCTAATATGATGCCCAGGATTCGCATTTTTAGCATTTTAAAGGATATATATATATATACACACACACACACACTTATCTGTTATCTACTTAACAACCAAATTTAGCCATCCCCCTGAACAATTGATAAAACTGAAGGTAGCCAACCAGCTCCCAACCAGTAATGGGCCATTTTGTAAACGGCTTTACTTAGCATATTAAGGCCTAAGCTTGTTAGTTTTGGCTTTCCCTGCCCCATCAACTGAAGTCCATTGTGATTCATTCAAACATGGCTTAGCACAGTAACTGAATACTGTGAATGGGTTTGCAAAGCTAAAGGTGGTGGCTTCGACTGGCTTAACTTGCTTGCTGACGGTTTCTGCCTCTCTGAAATTAATACTTCTTACCAGAGCCTTTATTATCGAAGGCAAGCATAGCAGCCTTCGTTTAACCTTCCCTCTGATCTACGACTTTGAAATGGTCCCGTGCAAAAGGACCACAGTCCAGGGTTAGGGGCTGTGCTTTGCATTCCAAAAACCCCACATTCAATTCCCGGCCTGGCTGTTTAAAAGGATAAAGAAATCTGTGCAGGCAGTACTGGAGGATTTATTAGAAAATTAGCTTGCCATAGAAAGATCTGGATATGGTCTGGTAGCATCTTCCCAGGTCCTTAATGAACACACCAAAGAGGTCATTTCTTGTAATTAACGGCATGGTCCATCTCAGGATTGAAAGTTTTCTAAAATAAGTGAGGTGTTTTAAAATGCTGGCATTTCTCAAAGAAATTGTTCCTTAGGATGGAAGATTTCCCTGACCGTGCAGAATTATATTCTTCAGCATTGCCACTCGCTCAAATGATCTCTCTCCCGTCAGCTAAGCCCATTTACGAGTTGAAATAGCTTATTTCAGTTATTTCATAGGTTGATGTGTGTTCCTTGAAATGTTTTGGGTTGTCCGTCACTTTGTGTGCGGTAAGTGGCTAAATATATGAATAAGTGAAGCCTTTCCTAACATTACCATAGAGCAGTGCTTCTTAACCTTGATAACTCTGACACGTGTGGACATCAACTCCCAGAATTCCCTGGCCAGCATGTTCTTTTTATATATATATTTAATTTCCCAAACAAAGTAGCGTCTTCTTGCAAGAGTTAGTTCTTACACAGTCTGATCGGAAGAGTTTGCTAACAGATCCAACTGTTGCCAAAACTCAGAAGAGTGGAAACTGGCTCTCCCCACCCATTGGATAGGATGTGCAAGACAAAAGGGCACCAAAAGGATTTGTCTGTTGTATTTATATCCGTAGCTTCCTATTGAAACACC